ATTATAGAAAAAAAAAGTTCTCCAACAGGGAAAGAAAGAAACCCATAGACTGGGGAAAAAATTTGGTAATGACATATCTGATAAGGAATTGAAATAAAAAATGTATGGTATACTGTAGCACCTCAACAAAAAAAAGGTAAACAACCCAATTACAAAATGGACACAGGATATGAATAGACACCTCACCAAAAAAGAAATTCAGATGGCAAACAAACACATAAAGAAATGTTCAAAATCTCTAGCTCTCAAATAAAAACAACTATGAGATATCATCTCATCCCAACAACAACAGCAAAGTTCAACAGGGCAGCAAACAACAAATGCTGGAGAGGTTGTGGAGAGATTGGAATTCTTAGTCACTGTCGGTGGGAATGTAAAATGGTGCAGCCTTTATGGAAAGAAGTCTCTGGCACTTTCTCAAAAAGCTAGAAATACCATTGACCCAGCAATTCCACCACTGGGAATATACCCTAAAGAAACCAGAGCTGCCACCCAAACAGATGTACGCACACTCATATTTACTGCTGTGTTATTGACAATAGAAAAGAGATGGATATAACACAAGTGCCCATTAACAAACAAATGGACAGACTAGGATACATTCACACAATGGAATATTTTGCAGCCTTGAAAAACAATGAAATAGTAAAATATTACAACACATGAGGGAGTCTTGAGGATATTATGCTGAGTGAAATATCTCAATCACAAAAGGACATCGGGATGGGGGTAAGACTGAGAAAAACTGGATGAAATATGTTTACAGCATTGAAGTCTTTGGGGGAGAGAATATTTGATATTTTAGGGCATTATGTTTCTCGTAAGAGTACGGAATGAGGGTTGCAGAGTGGGTTATATTTGGGGGTTGGGGGATGTGTGTGGGGGATTGCGTACCAATGAGGGAGTTTTCCTTTTGCGTTTGAAGGAGAGGAGCAAACGGGGGTGGGGATGGGGCGGCGGGGAGAGGGGTGCAACAATGAACAAATGGAATTCCAAAATCTCTGTAGATGTTCATTGAAATGAAAAATAAAGAAATTTTAAAAAAAGGACAAATACTGCATAACTCTGCTATTCTAAAATTGGACAGACATGGGGGTTGGAGAGATAATGGGGAAAGGGTGGATAGATAATGAATACTGCATTAGAACAGATGAGGGAAAGAACTGTCAGAAGGGAATATATGATCAGGCAATCTGGAACAAGAGGTGCATTGTGGGGTGGGCCAGGAGAGGTGGCAGGGTTGGGGGCAGGGAGAAAATATGCAACAATAAAAAAAATAGCAATTCTCCTAAGTATCCTCACTATCATCCTACTGGTACTAATAATATTCACTATCAATCTCAATCCAATCTCTATCCTTATTATTACAATTCCTAAATTAATAGAGGGGGTATTTGACAGGAGTTTATATTTGGAAGATGCATATTATTGGGCCTGTAGTACAATCATACCTGGCAGTATCCAATTTTGGGATTCCTATATGCATATGCAGTGAGTACCCGTCTCAGAGCAGATATGCCAGTGTCACTTTGAAAGGCTGGGTGCTCAGGCAGGGAACGACGCAAATCACGTTCAATTTCTTCAGTAGCCAAGTTGCAGGTCCCTAAGGACTTCTCAACCACTTCAGCATAATAACCAGGGTGAGTAGCCATATCATTAACAGCACCTATGAACATGATTACATTATCATACAAAGGCAGAAAAATTTAATAAAGCTTCCACTGCATTCAGATTTAGCTTTAGGCTCAATTATTATTTGAGTACACATTCACAAAAAGAAAAAAGAAACTTCCCACTAGAGTCTATTCAATCAAGACACTAACCTTATCGAACAGTAACATTTTCATTCTGTTATTTTTGCTGTTGTTATGTGTCATCGAATCTCCTGTGACTCACAGTGACATAAACTCTGAAACCTGACACATCCTGAGACAAGCTCTTCTCTGTTTCTCCAATCACTGAGTCAATCCATCTCACCCTGGGTCTTCCTCTCCTGCACTATCCCTCCACCCTTCCAAGCATGATGCCCTGGTCCAAGGATTGGCCCCTCGTGGCCAGGTGCTCAAAACATGTAAGATGAAGCTTCAAAAGGCTTGCCTCCAAGCAGCAGCCTGGTTTGACCCCAAGACAGACTTGTTTGCTCTTTTGTTCAACACTCTTCTCCAGTACCACAACTCAAGGCATTGATCCTTCTTCTATCCTCCTTATTCACTGTCCAGCTGTTACTTACATAGCAAGTAATTGTGAAGATCATGGCCTGAATCAGGCACAACTTAAGTCTCCAGAGTGCTATCGCTGCTCTTCAGTATAGTAGAATAGTCTCTGACAGCAGACTTTCCCAATGTAATTAGTCTTTTGATTTCCTGACTGCTGGTGTGCCAAGACGGTTGACTGTGGAACCAAACAAGCTTAAGTTATCAACAATCTTAGCCTCTTCTCCATCCATAATGAAGCTGTCAATTGACCCAGTGGTGAGATCTTTGTTTTCTTGTTGAGCTTTAATCCCTATTAAAAGCTGCCGTTCTTGACCTTCTGCAGCCAACACTTCAGGTCCTCCTCAGTTTCAACAAGCAAGGTTGTGTCACCTGCATAATACAGGTTGTTGAATCTTCCTCCAACCCTGATGCCATATTCCTCCTCATAAAGCCCAGTTTTCCAAATGATCTGTTCTGCATATATACTGAAAAGGTATGGAGACAGGATGCATCCCTGAAACACATCTTTCCTGATCCTGAACCATGAAGCGGTTCCCTGCTCTCTTCTGACTACTGCTTCCTGGTCCAAGTATAGGTTGCGTTATGAGCACAATTAAGTGTTCGGAGATACCCATTCTTTTCAAGGTTAGCCACAATTTGTTGTGATCCACAGTCAAATGTCTTTGCAGAGTCAATGAAATATAGACATTCTTCTGGTACTCTCTGCTTTCAGCCAAGATCCATCTAACGTTGGCTGGTGCCTCTTCTAAACCCAGCCTGCAACAGCTGGCAGTTCTCTGCTGATGTTCCAGTTGTTTTTGGATAATCTTTTCCTGAGCTAAGCATTTTTCCTCCACTTTCCTTTAACACGATAGAGATTTCTCTTAAAAACAACACACATTCTAGCAAAGTAATTAGCTTAGACAATTGTTGTTAGGTGCTGGCAAGTCAAATATGATTGATAGCATTTCTATGACCAACAGATCTTTAATTTTCTGTACTCTGTGTCATCTTCATCATCTCTAATATACTTGAGCTCACTGCTAGTCACTGTGTCAATCCATCTCATTGAGGGTCTTCCCCTCTTTTGCTGACTCTCCACCTTTCCAAGCATGATGTCTCTTTCTAAGGACTGATTCCTCCTGAAACTATGTTCAAAATAAGTGAGGTAAAGCTTCATTACACTACTCTCCAAGGAGCACTTTCTCTAAGACATATTTGTTCTTTTGGCAGCCCATGGGATATTCATTACTCTTCTCCAGTATCACAACTTAAAGGCATCGATTATTCTCCTGGAAAAAAAAATATTCTGTCATCCTTAATCTCTGTCCATCTTTTAGATGCCTAATAAGTAATTTAGAAAACCATAGTTTGAATAAGGCACACCTTGGTTTTTGAACTGATATCCCTGCTCTTTAGAATTTTGGAGAGGTCTCTGACAGCAGATTTCTCCCATGCAACAAGTCTTTTGATTTCTTGACTGCTGCTACCATGAGTGCTGATTGTAGATCCAAGTAAAATGAAATCAGTAAGTGGATATCTACATATGTAAGTATACTTTGTTGTTTTTGTTATATGCCATCAAGTCGCTTGTGATTCATAGTGACCCTATGTACAAAAGCTCTGAACGCTGCTCTATCTTGAATCAACCTTATTATCTCTAACACACCTACCCCATTACCCTAGTCATTTAGTCAATGCATCTCATCTGCCCTTCCAAGAAAGACGTTTCTCTCTAAGGACTGGCCCCTCCTTGCAACATGTCTAGAGTATGTCAGACGAAGCTTCAGAATCCTTGCCTCCAAGAAGCAGGCTGGTCTCACCCTCTCTAGGATTAACTTGTTTGTTCTCCTAGCAGTCCAAATTATATTTAGTACTCTTCTCCAGCACCACAGCTCAAAGGCATCAATTCTCCTTCTATCATCCCTAGTCATTGTCTAGCTCTCTGATGCATAGCAAGTAACTGCAAAGACTAGGACCTGGATCAGGCGCAACTTAGTCCTGTTGCTCTTCAGTACTCTGGAGAGGTCTGTGACAGCAGATTTTCCAGTACAATAGTATATAAAGTATGCTATTTACCTTTTTAATTTTGGCCACTCTGAATTCATGATGGGCAAGAATTTGTCCTAGCCAATTTTGTAATTCTATTAATTTAGCTTAGTGAATAATTCCTAGAAGTGACACAGTTAATGTCTATTAAATGAATCAAAGGAACAAAAGTAGTACCTGAGAAAAGCATCCAAAGCTCTCCTCTTAAGGTCTCTGGAATCCCTCTTACAACCAGATCTCTTGTCTTTTTGGTCCGGAACATGCTAACACCACGCCCACATTCTGTAAATAGGATGTTCCACGACTGTTCCTTCATCTTTTCTTTCAACTATAACAGGAAAATGAATAATAAAAGTGGTAAGAAAACAACTTCAAGTATTCTGATCATCTTCTTCAACATGAAACCACAATACTTAAAAAAAAAAACAAAATCCGCACAGAAACTCAAATTCATTGCCATCAAGTCAGAACCAACTCGGGCTGATGGTAAATTCAAACTGGCAGAGAGGGCACTGCCTTTGGGTTAGCAGTACACACAGTAAGGATTAATCCACTAGACTTCTCTGAAACAACAGATCTATGGATATCAAGAGCATATAAAGTCAAGGTCAGTATTCACATAGGGATCAAACACTGGGTATCTGTGATCCAAAAACATCTTTTAAATCCATATGAACATTATACCTTTTATCTGCTATTTTCTTTCCCAAACTCATACACAAAAGGCTAAACTATTAAATATTGGAGGTAAATCTTTGAACTACAATTCTTCCCAAATCATGTAGATTCCAGAATAGATTAGAAATTTGTACAACCCAACATCCAATTTTTATCTTCATTCTCTTTAACAATTCTTGTGTACTTTATACAAAAACGTCACACAGTAGTGTCTGCAATACTTCTTCAATCCCCACAAGATTAATTTTTCAGTTGTAGCACCCTAATCAGAAGGGAGATGTGCTGCCAACTCAAATACAGGTAGTATGAATTCACCAGCTGGCCTAAGAGAGACAAATCGCCAAATCTCTCTTATGTGATGTACATTCTTAAGAAAAGATGATGGAGGGTCAGTTATGAGTAGTTTGGACTTGATGACAAGGATATTTTTTCTCTTTTATTCAGTGTTGCACATTTTCCACCTCCCCCTTTCTACCCCTCCCCCAGCCCACCTCACAATGCATCCCTTGTTCCAGATTGTTCTCATACATTTAATGGCTAATCATATGTTCCTTTCAGAGAGTTCTTCCCCTCATCTGTTCTAATGTGGTGTTCATTATCTATCCACTCTTTTCCCATTCTCTCCCTAGTGCCCCCATGTCTGTTCTATAACAGCAGTGCTATGCAGTATTTATCCTTTTGTGATTGAGATACTTCACTCAGCATAATGTCCTCAAGGCACCCCTATGGTGTGTAATGTTTATTTCATTAATTTTCAATGCGGCATAGTATTCCATTGTGTGGATGTACTAGTTTTTCTGTCCATTCATTTGTTGATGGGCACTTGGGTTACTTCTCTCTTTGCTATTGTGAATAATGCAGCAATAAACATGGATGTGTGCACATCGGCTTGAGTTGTGGCTCTGGTTTCTTAAGAGTATTCCCAGTAGTGAGGTATCTGGGTCAAATGAAATTTCTCTTTCCAACTTTTTGAGAAAGTGCCATACTGCCTTCCACAGTGGTTGTGCCATTTTACACACCCAACAGTAGTGACTAAGAATTCCAATCTCTCCACAACCTTGCCAGCATTTGCTGTTTGCTGTCCTGTTGAATTCTTCTATT